GTTATTCTCTATAAATTGTGTTTCTCCACCTAAATATCTTTCACGAGATGCAGCTCTTGTTCAATTTCATCCCGTTTATTTAACACACTACACAAGGTACACACCAGGGTCATTCACCTGTTGGCCCGCTGGTGACTTCAGTCCGGCCTACCAATGACTTCATTATTTTATTTTATTTTTATATTTTTGGGGGGTGGGGTTCTGGGTTTGGGGTTTTTTGTATTGCATTTATGATTGGATGCAATAAAATAAACAAATTTAAAAGTAACAGATCGTTGTAAAACTTTGTTTATTTACATAATGTCTTTAATCGCTGGATGTCCGGCCCCTGAGCGGCTGGCTGTCAGAAACCGTGGCCCCCTGAGCAGTTTAGTGGAATAGCCCTGGTATCTAGGGCTTTAACAGACTACTCGAGTAATTGACACGTCGATTGCTAGGACATCTGTCGAGTTTTTAAATTTCACGTCGAGTATTCGCAGTGACGTCATTGTGTCACGTGATCCGCACCGGGCTACTAGTAGAAGCTACCAACTGGATTCCTCCCAGCAGATGGACTGAACGGAGCAGGCCCAGTCTTGGCAAACAGGTAGAAATACATCAGTAGTGTGAAAATATTTCACTAAAGATGAATCTTCCGGTTCAACTACCGTAAGGAAACAGAAAATGAATCAACTTCCTGACTGTTTGGAGCTCCCGGTGTTATACCATATTCTGTGACCACCGTATATTGTGACTGTAGGGGGCGGTGTTGCATGCACTGTTGCAGGTCACAGAATATGTTGTAACACCGGGTCCAGTCGACAGAACCAGCTTCCTCTGACCTTGTTTCACAAACTAAAAGCAAAAAATATTAATCTCTAAACCTATAAAAAAAACCTATAAACATATTAATCTCTAAAACTAAACATAATGCGCAGCTGGCGGTGGTGCGGGGTGGTCGACCGCCCCAGTTTTTAGTTTTGTTTTTGACGTGCCGCACGTTTCTTTCACTTTTGTAGCTTAATAATAACTAATAGTTTAGGTTTTCCTGTGACTTATTTGCAGTATGATAAATGGTAGGAGCACAATATACACTCCCGATGTTTTGTTGGTCTGTTTTTTATTTGTAAATAATATATATATATTTTTTTTTCAGATTAATTTTTTCATCTTGAGATCTTATGACATCATCAACTACTCGAGTTCTACTCGAGTTTTATCATGTTAATGTCGAGTTTTAAAACGATGTAGTCGTTCAACCCCTTGTATACACACATCGTGCTGATCAATCAAGATGTTGATATTATTGATGCCATCGCTCACTTCTGATCAGTGGAATCAATACGTGGGTTTGTTTCTTTTACTTTTACTACGTTTCTCCTGTTGGAGAATGGAGAAATGTCATGTTCTTATTTTGTTTCTGAACAAAATTACAAAGATAAACAGGAATACAAAAACACTCGTTCTCCACTTTGTTCTTTTTTTAATTGTTTTATTTCACATGCAATTTTTTTATTTCCCTTGACTCTTCCTAAAAATGACCATGGGCTTTAAAACACAAACGCTCCACTGATGTATAGTTGAAGGGAAAAATCTGTAATTCATATGTAGTTTAATAAAGATAAAACATGACACGCTGTTCTCACCGAGAGAAACTGGCCGTTTTGAGCGAAACGTGTTGGATTGATATCTGATACTGGTTCTGTGCGTACTTGTTACTGGATCAATACATGTCACAGCGTTGCACACCAGCAGCCAGCCTAATGTTGGTCAAGCTTTTACGTGTCTTTTGGCAGATTCTGCCGTTGTTTACGTTCAGTGCAGACCTGCATTTCAGTAAATCTGGGAAAACTTCTGGAGCAAACACTTTCAGTTTGCACCATTTGATGTCCTTCAGGATAAACTTTTTTATGTTTCATTTCACAGCTGTACAATACATCAAATATTTATTGTTAATGCAATGTCAGTGTGCATAATAATATTGCTAAACATTTCTAGAAATTGCAGACAAAATACACATTTGTTCATCGTATAGGGCCACCACTCTGTTGTAAACAATAATGACGACACATAATGTGGCTTTACGGCAGTATTTAACATACTGTGATCACATGTTCTCCTAGTTTATTTTTTCAAGGCTCTTTATTTTCATTCGCATCGCATGTGGTACGTGAGGTGGAACGAAACTGTGTACACAGGTCCCAGTTACACCCAAAAGTAGCACAAGTATAAAACACAAAAAGAAACGGTATACAAGGAGCTAAGATACATGTAAACAAGAATAATGTAATAAAATACGGTGCACCAAAGTCCATGCTCAATAATCCAGGTAAAAATGCAACGATGTTCAGTCAGGTCATCTGGACAGTTTCTCTTTTTGTGCTGAGACGTAGGCCTGTCACGATAAAACCTCCGTCTTGTCAAAGCTCCAAAATTCACGGTTGAAACTCGTGCCTTTGTGTAAAAAATTGTTTTTCTCTGGAAAAAGCTGAGAACTTGTTTACTGATTTGTTATTAAAAGCTTTGTGTGAAAAATGCTAAAGAGCTCAAACCACACTGAGTGTCGGCCGTTTTGAGAACCAAAAAAAAAGGAAAGAGACGGTTCATGTTTGTCAAGGGGCCTCCCTCCCATTTTCTTAGACACGCTGCTCACTCCCTCACTATCCATCCTTCGGTTGTAATGGTTTTATACTGCCATCCAGTGGTCTAAAAGGTACTACACAAAAATTTACCAAAATTTCTTCCTGAATTTGGTAATACTTACTAATTATTGTCAAATTTCAAACAACGTTTATCACAATAATTTCTGAAACAATTAATAGCCCAGCAAAATTTGTTATCGTGACAGAGACGTTTCGCCCTCCATCCAGAAGGCTTCATCAGTCTGATGAAACGCCAAACAAAACTGATACTCCCAACAGCCTTCTCCAATGTAGAAAAAAAAAGTTATGTTGGTGCTAAGATGGATCAACCATCTGGGTCTGAACATTGTTGGATTTTATACCTGGATTATTGAGCATGGACTTTGGTGTTTTGAACCAGTTTGACGTGGCTGTCGACGAGGGAGAGGACGTGCCCCAGAGGCCTTTTTAGCACCAACATAACTGTTTTTTTCCCCACTTTGGAGTAAGCTGTTGGGAGAGTATCAGTTTTGTTTGGTGTTTCCTCAGACTGATGAAGCCTTCTGGATGGAGGGCGAAACGTCTCAGCACAAAAACAGAAACCGTCCAGATGTTCTGACTGATCATTGTTGGAGAATACGGTGTATTAAACAGTAGGGGTGTAACAATACATCGATTTAAATCAATATATCGATTAAATGATGAGTCAATTATATCGTGGCAAAACTAAAACATCAATTCGTATTGTCATCTTTAAAATACACTTTTATTTTGAAATTCCCAAGGCACATCTGTGTCACCATTCCCGTGCGCGGCTGCGCTCTGCGGCCGCCTCAGCAACGTGGCAGACGAGGCAGAAAACACAGATATTAAAATTCACTCTCCAGCTGGATTTAAACCAACACTGTGGAAGTATTCTGGATTCCAACAGAAGGTCGGCTCAACAGCCGGGACTCGTGTCGTGTGCAGCAGGTGCCAGTGGGAGTTCAAATACTCTGGAAACAAAACCAATTTATCCGTTCGCCTGAAGAAGAAACACGGCACTGAAAGCCATAAGCTCAATATCTAATTTTGTTTCTTTATAACTGAAAGGTAATCAGGACACTTTTAAGTTAACTGGTTTAAAAAATGCACTTAAACATGAGAAATGTGAGACTAAACTGAACAAGTTGTTTATTTTTATTTTTTCATTAATTAAGAAAAATGTGTTTATTATTATTTAAATGCCTGATGCCTGTAATAACATAAATAAAATGGTTATTTGAATTGTTTTTGTAAATTTATATTCATTCATATTTACAAGTGAGACCTGTTTAGACACAAAAATGTATTTTTTTATGTAAATGAGATGACATTTGATATCGCAATGTATCGATCGCAGACTTGTGAATCGAATGGAATTGAAATCTTATCGTGACAGACTTTGTGATATCGAGAAAAATCGTATCGTCGTACAAACAAATCAATATAATATCGTATCGTGGTAAAGCTGTTGGTTTACACGCCCATTAAACAGCAGCCTGAACATGAGTCCGTTGTGAGCAGATGGATATGAATACAGCAGCTGTTTAATGAGTTATGTATAAAGAAATTGTTCTCGTTTGAAACTAGGCAGAGTTTTTGTCCGACTCGACATAATGTGAATCAAAACCGTCAAATAATTGGCCACTTAATAAAACGAACGCAAAGATGTAGTCCTTAAATGGATCAACATAAAGTCTTCAGTTTGTTGGTGATTTAAATGACTTAAAAATATTAATGACCTCTAGCTTTATTTTAAAAATCTATTGGGAGTTGGATTTTTATTAAAATTTTACACATTATTGTACAAAAACTGGGTTTCCATAAAACTGTACTTTGGTGCAATAAAAACTTTAATCTCCAACAAATGTGCTTTTTTTCTTCTGCGTTTGGTTCAAAGCAGGAAGTTTGTGGTGGAGTTGGAGAAAAATATGATTTACTTTAAGAAAGCAAAAGTTTTCCTAACAAACTATTATCTCAACAGTACAAGTGTATTTTAGCGTAAAGTTTGTCACACGGAACGAATTGCGTGGCTGCGATGAAGCGAAGTTGTGTTCACGGAGCGTTTGTTCTGCTGCAGGACGTTTCTGCACAAATCTCAAAAAACGCAGCTGGAAAACGTCAAGTCGTCCAGTTCGGCACGAACTCAGAGGCCACGTGTGGCCCCCGAGCCGCAGCTTGCACATCGTTGACGCAGTGAAGCTGCGTTTGTCGTCTAAACTGGTTCCACAGCTCTGGCTCTGGTTCCAGTGACACTTTCTTCTTTTTGTCCCTTCAGCCTGTCGTTCGGCGACGCGTCATCCAAGACGTCGACGCTCGCTCGTGTGTCGCTGCGCGTCTGTTTTCACTAATCGCTCTCTTCCCTCTCTCTCTCTTCAGGCCATGGTGGCGTGTTACCCTGGAAACGGGACAGGCTATGTGCGCCACGTGGACAACCCCAACGGAGACGGACGCTGCGTCACCTGCATTTATTACCTTAACAAAGACTGGAATGCCAAGGTACCGGCGATGAACATTTCTTTGATTACAGTTTTTAACCAGATTCAACTCGTCAACCCGTTATTCTGCTCTTTCTTTGTGACGCCAGCGATCGTTTGTTTAACACATTAAAGTGTCGTCTGACGGGCAGGTGTATCTGTTAGCAAAATATCCCATTAGCCACTGGACAGTTTTATTTAAAGCTCTCAGAAAGTGGATGTAACGCTTGGAGCCAGCATGACCCAAAATGGCCGCCACCGTCAACTGACAAACACAACAATGAAAGTAACTTGAGTCGTTTTTTTAGAAATGACCAAAAATTTGAATTGATAGTAGCTGAGACTGGTCCCCAACATGAACTTTAGGCACCGACTAAGTGTGCATGTTCGTCGATTAAAATTTGGCATCAACTCTTGTCTGTTAGCAAAATATCTCATTAACCACTGGATGGAAAATGGTCATTGGATGAACGTCTGCAAACAGAGTCGCTTTGGAGCTAATCCAATTCAAGATGGCCGCCACAGAAAACATTTGTGTGACTATAATCTGGTCAGTTCTACTGATGTTTTGAATTTTGGTTTGGTAGTAGATGAGACTCATCCCCAAACAAACATGCATCCATCATCTTTTACCCGCTTTTTCCATTTTGGGTCACGGGGTTCACCAGTGCCCATGTCCAGCAGTCACTGCGAGGGGCGGGGGACACCCTGGACATGTCTCCAGTCCATCACAGGGACACATAGAGACAAACAACCATTCACTCTCTCACTCACCTAGGGGCAATTTAGAGTCACCAATCAGTCTAACATGCATGTTTTTGGTCTCTGGGAGGAAACCGGAGTACCCGGAGAAAACCTACGCATGCACGGAGAGAACATGCAAACTCCACCCAGAAAGGTCCCCGGACTGGGATTTGAACCAGGGACCTGCTCGCTGAGAGGCAGCAGTTGCGCCACCGTGCCCCCCCCCCAACAAACATACAACAAAGGTTAAACGATGTCATCTGGACAAGTTTCTTTTTGGGAGAAACGTTTAGTCTTTCATCTGAAAAACTTTGCGCCACACATTGTGTATTTTTGCTTCAACAATGAGCGTCAACCCCGTTTGTCTGTTAGCAAAATATCTCATGTACCACTGGGAGGATTTAATTGAAACGTTCAGGAAATGGTCATCGGCTGTATTGAAACACGACCACCAACGCTTGACATCAGTCAGTGTTCTACAAGTCAACCACTTTTACACATCCAGAGTGAAAATCTGGTGTGGTAGTAGCTGAGAGTCATCCCCAGCAGATACTCCGAGCCCTAAAACAAACTGTGAGATCACGTAACATCATTCCCCCCCCCCCAGTAAATGATCATTTAGTTTAGAACTCTGTCTTGGAAGCGGCGGGTGATATGCATTCCTTCAAGTACTGCGAGACCTTTACTTCATTTGTTTGTTTTCTTTGTTTGAAGTTTGTGAGCGTGGATGTTTACACGTGTTTTCAACTGCAAACACGAAACGTGATGATTTGGACTATTAAAAAAAAAAAAGTACAAATCCAATAGAAGGCAATCAGTAACTTTTAGTTTTGTGTGTTTTTGTTTGTTTTGCTTTTCTTTTTGTTTTGTTTTATTCTATCAGTCCTTCCGTGTTGCTCAACTGTCACATTTGCCTGTTTATTTGTCTTGTAAATATTTTCCTGTTCACACTTGCGTCAGTCGCCATGCGGGTCGTGTTGATCGAGCTGCCGCGCGTGCTCTCAAACTAAATCCACACCAGGGCTCTGCAACGTTTGCAATAAAAAGAGACATTCCTGCCATTTTACTTAATAATGACGATGTCTGGAGCCACAAAACCTGCTCCATCCGTCAACCGGTGGCTCATGGGCCACTGCAAGTTTGTTGGAGATGGCTTTACTGGTCAGTGGGGGTGATATTATAAAACGAAAAATGTCTAGCTATTATTAACATTTATTGATATATTTATATTTTAATACAATAGAAAAGATCAGATTCATGTAAAGAAAGAAAAAATAAATAATTTAAAACGTTTCATAAAAATTCAAACACTGAACTGTGAGTTCTCTTAATTGTTGAAGAATCAAGTATCCTACTTAAATCATAAAGTTAGGCCAGTTTGTTGGATATCCATTACATTATTAAAGAAACAAATACTTTGACGTTGTTTTTTGTGTTTTATTCTTAGTGTTATCAAAGCACCATATTCCTTCTCAGCAACTTGTCTTAAAGATTTTCCAAAACATTCTGGTGGTTTTGAGAGAAAGATCACGCTGAGAGACAGGAAGTGGACTTAAGGTGGCTAACAAACTACTAGCATGATGTGGTCCAGATGTTTTACGCCTTGTACTATCCTTCACATATTTGAAAATGACAAGAAATCTACTGAAACTAGCCATTTTCATTGTTGGCAATACCGTACTTGCCGCCGTACACGTCGCACTGCCATATAAGGAGCATCTATTACGCGTCATCGCTGAACACCCAGAAATGTGGTACGGTTCATGTCACGTCAAGGGGCCTCCCTCCCATTTTTCTTAAAGACACACTGCTCGCTCCCTCACTATCCATCCTTCGGTTCAAACAGTATTATACTGCCATCAGGTGGTCAAAAAAGGTACTACACCCAAAACAAATTAACCAACATTTCTTCTTAAATTTGACAATTACTAATTATTGACAACTTTCAAACAATATTATCGTTTATCCCAATAATTTATGAGACAATCGTTCAGCAAAATGTATCATCGTGACAGACCTACTCTTGGCCACTCTCCCATGAAGCTTGGATTGGTGAAGAACTCTGGCAACAGTCATCGTATGCTGAGTTTTTCCCATCTCACCTGCTAAAGCTTGTAACTCCTTCAGGTTGCTCACAGGTCGTCTCACATTCTCCTTCTTGCACAGTTAGTTTTTCAGGACAAGCTCTTGGTAGATGTACACATGCTCCATATTTCTTTCATGTCTTGATGGATTTAACAGAACTCCTGGAGGTGTTCAGGGTCTTGGAAACCCTTTTGTCTCCATATCCTGACTTGTACTTTTCAATAATCTGAGTTCCTTGAAGTGTTGTCGTCATGGTGTAATGGTAGCCAGAAATATCAACGAACTTCTTCAAAAAGGCCAGTTTATGTTGGTTTAACTGTTATAACACAAAGGATTATTTCTGAAGCCGCACCTGTTAGAAAACTTGGATTTACAGGTAGATTAGGAAGATTATACGTCAGGTGTAAAAACAGGCTTTAGGAAAGAAAATTAAGTCTCAAAAACCTTTTTTTATTGCCACAGTCCATTTCAGGATGAAACGTCTCGTTCTAGGCCGGCGTTCTTTCATTTTGCAGGAAGTACAGAGGAGAAAAAAGTTCACCGTGATATCAGTTTATGACGAGATCAATACTCGGATAGTGCCAACACCAGACTGAGCCGTTTTTCTCTGTAAACAGTTTAAAATCCGTTCACCCCCATGATAGTTGAACCTTCGACTAAAGGAAGTCATGTGGTGTCGCTGCAGAAACCAGGACTGTTTATCATTCACAGCCAGGTTTACAGAAGATCAGGGCTCGTTCTAAAGTCGGTAAAAGTTTGTTGTTTTAGGGCTCAACTAAAAAGTCAATCCAGATAGTTCCAATCTTCTGGTTATTAGTGAATGTGTGGAGCGTTAAAGGGAAATGATGTGGACTGCTCTTTAGAGGGAGCTGTATTTCCTTTCATCGAGATACGTGCTTTTTTCCCACAATACGAGTTAGTGGGGGCTGAGTGCTCTTACAAATCATGTAGTGGTTTTGCCACCACCACTCATGAACCAGCAGACAGATTTTAATGACACTTGTTGTTCATCATTGGACGAAACTAATAGTTCGCTCTAACAAACAAAAACAAAAAGCTGTAGCTCCGTTAGTTTTAGGAATATTCTTCTACAGTTTGCTGTGGTAGTAGCTGAGAGTCATTCCCATCACATACTTTGAGCATATTTGGTGATTTACATGTACAGCAGTCCCTCACTTATCACGGGGGTTATTTTCCAGACACCCCCCCGTGATAGGTGAAAATCTGCGAAGTAGGGACGTTGTATTTATTTTAGTATTTATATTAGAGATGCACAATATTAGATTTTGGCCAATATCCAATATGGCGATATGTTAAAACTTGTTTGGCCGATAACAGATATCAATACAAATATTTTTTTCCCTGAGAGACTACATAACTTTCTCTGCTGTGGAATTAAAATACTACATTATTCTGCAGGTCTTTGTCAGTTTGGCTGCTACCAAATGCAGATGCCAAAAAGGAGCTGAACATGATGCAACACTTCAACTTGGATTATGTTTAATGTCAAATTAATGCATGACTTTTAATCTCTTAACACAATGACAACACTCGCACAGTGCAAATTTGTACATTTTCACAAATCTAAACTCAACCTGTTCACAAGCGACAAGTGAAAACTGCATAAGTACTAGTTCATAAATAGATATACATGACGGTTTCTTAAATTAAAAATTAACTTAAAACCTTTATATCACCTTTTATATCGGTGAGTTATTTTGATGGAACTGCTGATATTTAACTTTATCACTAATATCGACCGTTATCGTGCATCCCTAATTTATATATTTTAAGGCTTTATAAACCCTTCCCACACTCTTGCAATGTCCTTAACAATGTTCCAAACTCTCTAAACGCTCTAAAAGAGCCCAGCAAAAGAGAGCAGACAGACTGATGCTACGGTCACCGAGCCAGTCAGCGCCTGGGATACAGAGCACGATGCTCTGGTTGGTCGCCTTCCATCAATCAGCCAATCGTGTGTCTTGTGTACAATCTGACATTGAAAACCCGCATAACAGTGAGTCAGCGAAAGTCGAACCGCCAAGTACCAAGGGAACACTGTATAACGTTATTTTTCAAGGTTTGACCAAACCAACTCCAACTCCGTCCCTTTGCATGGTAAGGTGTAATTAGTCTAAAACTCTGGTGGGAGACGAGCATTCCTTCAGGGAATCACAAGCAATTATTCAAAACCTGCGTTTGAAATGATTGCATGAAGCTGGTCTTCCTGGACCCTACTGCTGGTTTTCCCTGCATTCAGCTCAGTTTAAATGGAAATATCATTAGTTCTCCACCTCAGAGTGTGAACCTTTTATAATAGCGAGGTTGCGTGTGAAGAGAAGGACCTGTCATATCAGCAAAGTGAGACTTTAAGCAACAGCAATCTGCTTTTTCACTCTCCAGGTCCTTTATCCAGCCGGAGCAGTTTTCCTGTGGGTTATTCTTCCTATCCCTCCACAGGAAGGCCGTCTGCTGCCGCTGCTTCCTATCCTGAGCTTTCCTCTTAGCGTTCATGGTCAGGCAGCTCTTTGACCTCAACATTGTTGGTCCACATGTCGGTTGAGTCTTTTATGACTTCTTGCTGTGGATGAAAACTCAATCCAAACACAGCCACGGGTGTCATTTACTGCCATCCCTTAATGAGACTGTTTCTGCTTCTAGGAACACGGTGGCCTCCTTCGAATCTTCCCAGAAGGTAAAGCCCAATTTGCCGACATAGAGCCAAAATTCGACCGTCTGCTGCTGTTCTGGTCAGACAGACGAAACCCTCACGAGGTTCAGCCCGCCTTCGCTACAAGGTCAGCATCGCTCCCTCTGTCCGCTGCACATGCTCAGGCGACGCTACCCGTTTGTCTCATTGCTCTTGTTTCCTGTCTCTGCAGGTATGCCATCACCGTGTGGTATTTTGATGCAGACGAGCGAGCCAGAGCTAAAGAAAAGTACTTAACAGGTAAGGGTTGAAAGGACAAAGAACACCGCCGTGCGCCTATTGTTTAAGGTCTGATTTATTTATGACTTCTGTTTCCTTTGCGTGCAGGTGCAGGGGAGAAAGGAGTCAAAGTGGAACTCGGCAAATCACCAGATCCCAGCTAGTACAACGACGGGGCTCTTTGCGAACAGCCATTAAGTGCTCAATCAAGTGACCTATAGTGAGCGTGTGTGTGATTTACAGGGCGACCTTAGATTAGAAGAGGGTAAACACAAAGCGTAGCAATGCATGATACAGCCTGTACGTACTGGGCTTGTACCCAGTACTTACCCAGCAAATACCTGGTACATACCAGGCACAAATCTGGTACTTACCTGGCACGTATCTGATACTTACCCAGCAAATTCCTGGTTCATACCAGGCAAGTACTTGTCACTTAGCAGGAATGTACCTGGTACTTACCTGGCAAGTACCTGGTACATACCAGGCATGTACCAGAAATGTACCTGGTACTTACCGGGAACATACTTGATACTTGCCCGGCACAGACCTGGGACTTACTGGGCATGTACCAGGCAAGTACTGCGTAGATACCTAGAAACTGCTGTAAAATGAAGTGGCATGAAAAGAAAAGTACCCGTTAGTTACCAGGTACGTGTCAGGTAAATGCATAGTAAGTACCCGATGCATGCTTTATAGATACTTTGTATGTAGGTAAGTATTTGGTCATTACCAGGTAAATTACGGGTACAAATCTGGTACATGCCAAGGTAAGTAGCCAGTACATACCAGCTACTGGTACTTGGTGCACATACTTGGTACCCAGTACATACTAAGTAAGTACTGGATAGATACCAAACTGTAAAATGAAGTGACATGTTAAATACTTGGTAAGTACTCGGTATGTACCAGGCTGTCTTATGTTTTGCTACAAACAAATATTCATTTCTGATCATTTACAGTTAATCTGGGCGATCTTGAGGACGTTGAATGTCGTCATATTTTACTGAAAGGGATTTTTTTTCTTGCTCTCACCTTATTAATGCATTTGTTTCATAAACAATAAGAAACCTCAGATCTTCATCTGTTTTTTTTTTGTTTTTCAGTTAATCCCTTCAAGGTACAGTGTTCTGCATGTGTGTGTAATCCTTCTCAGCAGGAACAGTTTGAAATAAGCTACGATACTTGCTTCAGGTTGAAATCATTTGAGAAATGATCCCAATTAAAACAAAAAATTAAATTATCTCAGCCAGCACAGCTTTGGTTTGAGTTTTTAATTTAGCAGCACAATATGTGTTTGTCTTTTTTACCCCCCACACTTATTAAAATCATCCATCACTTGGTTACTTCAGAGAATTACCTAAAAACTTTCAAGTTTTATAACCAAACGCCATGCGCCCTCTGCAGGAAACTTGTGTACAGCACCTTCTTATTCGTGCCTTTTTTTTTTTTTTTGATCTGCGGATGAATGAAAATGAGTTGCCGTTCTTCAGATCTCAACCAGTTATTTGTGGAACAAAGTTTGTGGGTGAGAAAGTCTTAAAGAAAATTGATTTGTCTAATTTCAAGGCACTCGGTTGACTATGCACCTTACAGATTAGGCTTTTAACTTTCTAACAACTTGCCCTATTTCAAATGTTTTTGGTTTGAATTCAACTTTCTCAACTATATCTCTAATGCAGTTTGCTGCACGGTGGAGTTATTGCTGTTTCGGCACTTATTTTTGGGCGTTTCTGGAGGAATGACCCGGTTGTTTCTGTGTTTTCTCAACTTTGTGAGTTAAATTCACAAATAAAAGGCGGTTGTTGTTGTTTGGTTTAACGCAGATCCGTGTGAGGAAACGTTCCCTGACTTTTTTTTTTTTTTTACTGTCATTTAAACCAAATCTTAGATTATGTTGAACAAAGGGGCATACCAAAAAGAAAAAGTCTTTCCAGTCACATAGTAAGACACCCGGTCACCCTATTTGCTGCACTTCTAAGAAAAACTTCAGTACTATTAACGAATTATCTGAAATATCAAGTCATTTCTGCAGAAATTAGTGGCAACATTTGATGAATAATGTGTCGCATTGATGTATTTTTTTTCCCAATATTAATTAAAACATCTCATTGTTTTTGACTATGCTGCCATCAAATTGTTGCATAAAGTGCTTTGCAGATTGATTTTCATGAAATTTTCTGCACCAGTTTGATTTGTTTTGTAAAAAAAAAAAAAAAAATCCATTACGGAGCATTTCAAGACGATCTCAGTTCAGTCTCGGATAACATTTGATCATATCATGTAGATCAGCTGTTTGTTTCTTGCTAAGAGTCTTAAGTTTCAGGTACATTATGTATTTACCGCTTTTAGAACGCGATTGTCTTTGGAAAAAGCTCTTCAATAAAATTGATAAAAGTGGAGAAAAAAACACGTCTGCTGGTGTTTCTGAACTGAAGATAAAGGTTGCTTCATCACAGGAGTTACAGACGGGAACAAATCGAGGCTGATTTGTACTCCGGGACGTTTGGAAGTCTGTTCTCGCTCGGTTTTCCACGTGGACGTTTTGTACTACAAGAGAAACTGGGACAAAGAACACCTGATGAGCCTCCCATTACTCACATTCATTTCTAGATATAGACCAAATTAGCAGAAAACGTAATAAAACCCACTGGAAAATTGGCAAAAGAAATAAAAAAGCTCAGGAGTTAATGCAAAATTTTAAGTAGAAACATCGACGTTTAAACGATTCACAGAAACTTGGACTTCATAGATCTGTCTGAGTACTGGATAACGTCTCCTACTCCTCAAACTCATTTTCTGATGGACACCATTGGTCGTCTCACAGGGCTTGAACGTCCAACCACTGAACAGTGGTAGAAGGGGTTTCTTCCTGCCAGGCAGTAGTGTAATCCAGGGGTTCCCAACCCTGGTCCTTGAGGAACACCATCCTGCATGTTTTAGTTGTTTCTCTGCTCCGACACACGATTTTAATTAATGGTGATTAACAGAAGTAATTAAATCACTGAATCACGTGTGTTGGAGCAGGGAAACAACTAAAACATGCAGGATGGTGTTCCTCAAGGACCAGGGTTGGGAACCAATGGTTGTAGTCTACGTGATACACTGGTAATACGGCGTATACCCACTAGAAAAGCTTGGCAATTTCCATATACTCATTTAAAAGTGTTTAGTGATACAGTATATCATTGAACACATGTCAATGATGAGTTGAACACGGTTAAACGCGTCCGTAACAATCGGTCTGTACGCAGCGCTTGTTTATGACAGTCGCTAAGGACCAGTGCAAACTCTTCACTGCCCCTCTCTGCTGCCAGGGGTGTGTATTTAGTTCCTGCATCTGTTGTTTGGCCTTTGCAAATCTTTTACAAAGAAACTGTTTCAGACAGATGGGACTCCTCCATGCACGATTGTGATCTCCTTCCGTGAGTTCTTCACCATTTGGCCATAAGTTTTGCTGGAACGGTTGTAAAGATGACTATTCCCTAACAGCCTCAGCCAGCAGCTCCTCAACGCTATCAGTCTTTCTAGCACATCATCCAAGTTCTGGAAGTGGAGCAGTTAAAGCAGAAGGACCACTTAAAGTGCAGTTCCACATCAACAAAGTTCTAACCTATCACACGATACTTGGTGCATAATCCCGTGAGGAATAAACGTTCTGCCAGGGGTTGTAACAACAAACTGCCAATGAGAACAAATTTCTTAATGTCTTGTGATGTATAAATCTTGTTTGTGCCCTTTTCAGTAAAGAAAAAAAAGCCCACACAGGTCATGGGAATAATGACGGACCATCTAGAAGCCATCTGCCTTGATATTCTTGAGTTTTCATTGTACCCTTCCAGTTTCACAGTCTATTGTGTTGTTGGTGCACTTAGTTTTTGGGTCTGTGAGCATCGAGTTGATGGGACAGTTGTTGCCAAAAAACTTGTTTCTGTCATCTGTTGGTGAAGTACAAAAATATTTCTAGTAAACCAATCCATGATATAGCCGTAACCTTTTTATTTTATCTTCTTACGACAAATATCAATGAATCTGATTCATTGATATTTGTAAAATGACAAAAAATTTTCAATCTGCGTTTATTTTTATTACATTTCATTTGACTTATGCTTGTTTCACTACCTCAAACTTAAATTTGATCACAATTCTAGGCGCTATAATTTTTTTTTACAATCTTTTATTTAAAAATATCTGCAGATCCTGTTCTGAAATGTTGGGATTTTTCTCGTCTTTTTGCTAATTTGACACCATTTTTACACAAATCTATTCTCGTTGCAAACAGCAGGTGTTACAAGTTTAAAGAAGATGGAACAGTAATTTATTACGTCCGGCACCAAATCAGGAACCGATTGATAAATGTTGGCAGCAGGACTGTTCTACAAAAGCAACAACAGAAGGAGCTGCATGACAAGGAGGGTGTTAATAAAGACACAGGTTTGTGATGTTAAAAATGATGTTTTTTTTAATAGTTTTACAATTTTCTTATGAATTAAACTTATCTTTATAAACATGTATCAAACTTAACATGTTTGTAGACAGTACTTAAAATAGTAATACAGTACAATATGTTACACATATTCAACAAATTGAAAGTGAAGAGTTAAAGAGCAGGTCGTAATTTATATATAAAACATGGAATTGTGCAAAAGTAACGCCCCATCTCAGCCTTTACTGGCAAAGACGAGTATTTTCTCAGAATGTAACAGGAAACTTATAGTTTCTAATTGTGCCTTAGGTCAATAATGAAGTGTGCAAAAATCTACAGATAAAGTAAAACCACAGGTCAGAAGCAGAAAGTCTTGAGTTCAGTAATATATACAAATAAAAAGTGAATCCACAGATCAATGGGACACAGTATGACTTCAGTAAAATTTACAAATAAAAATAAATCATGGGTCAGTAGGAGACGGTCTGAGTTCAGTAAAGTTTACAGATAG